GGGACAGGAACTTGTGATTTATACAAAAACAACTAAAATCATAAGCTTTAAAAATTCGCTTAAAGTCAGAAAGTACACCTAAATATTTAGTTGGATGGCTATTTCTGATTTGGTTGAAAACAACCAAAATTATGAGTTGTGGTTCATGGAAACAATCAAAATTATAAATTGTAACCCATAATAACTTAGAAATTTTTATGTATAAAATATTCTAAGTGGGGCAGTAACTTTCTATCTTGTTGATAACGTTCAAAGTCATAGTTTATAGTCCACAAAAATTCAGAAATATTTTTTGACCAAAATTATAAGTGATAATCCACATAAATTACGGAAGTTTGAAGTATGCATAACATATTATTTGAGCAATAATTTGTGATTTGATTAATAAATGATGAAAACCATCGGTTATAAACCAAAAAATTTCCATAATCATTGGTTATAGTCGACGTAAAATTTAATCATCTGTAACTTTATGCGAACTACATATGAAATATACTTTACTTGATGGACAATTAGCCACTTGGTTGAAAAGGACAAAACCATAGGTTATAGTGAACATACAAATTAAAAATTTAAGAGCCCACCAAATATGCAATGCGGGATAGGAACTTGTGACTTATACAAAAACAGCTAAAATCTTAGGCTGTAATTCACCTAAAGTCAGAAATTTTGGAGTACACCTAAATATTAAGTTGGATGACTGTTTTTTATTTGGTTGAAAACAACCAAATTTATGAGTTAGAAACAATCAAAATTATTGATTGTAACCCATAAAGACTCAGAAATTTTGAACTATGTATAGAATATTCTAAGTGGGACGATAACTTTTTATATTGTTGATAAGGTTCCACAAAAGTTTAGAAATATTTTAGTATTCTTAAAATATGCTTTGAAGGAAGTTAATTTGTAATTTGATCAAAACGTCCACAATCATGATTCATAGTCTGCAAAAATAGAAATTTCAAAGTATTGTAAAAACTATTTCATGTTGCACAACAACTTATGATTTGGTCTAAAACAATCAAAATCATGAGTTATAGTTTAAAAAGAATCTCTAATTTCAAAGTACACATGACATATTTTGTGTTTGATGATAATTTATTGGTCGATTACATACACTATTATTCTTTTGGAGTTTTGAGTACGTATAAAATACTATGTTGGACGATAATTTGTGATTTGGTATGAACAACCAAAATCATGGGGTTAGTGTCCTCAAAAGATCAGAAATTTTGGAACAGTCATAAACACATAATACGGGACATTAACTTGTGATTTTGTCGAGAAACTAAGAGGGTGTTTGGGGAGACTTATTTTTTAGTCAAACTAGCCTTTAAGCTGGCTTTTTTATTTCTGCCTGTTTGGTAAAATATCAAATATGTTTGCTTATAAGTCCCATTTTAGAAAGCTGGCATACCCTAGCTTTTGAAAAACTAGCTTATAAGCTCACTTTAAAAAGTTAGGTTTAACTAAACAAATTTCTATTCTACTCAAACAATCTTTATAGTATTTTTATCCAAAAAAGTCAAAAGTTATTAAAAGCTAGCATAACTTATAAGCTTAAAAATATAAGCCTTCCTAAGCACCCTCTAATTCAATTGTTTTAGGTTAAAGTAACTCTAGAATTTTAAAGTACAAATGAAAGGTTTCATGCATGACAAGAAGTTATTTAGTTAAAAAAGACCAAAATCATAGGATATAGTCCATAAAAATTTAGGATTGGAGTATCTATTAAATATTCTATGCTAGATAATAGTTTGTGATCTAGTTAAAGGTAACCAAATTCAGGTTATAGTCCACAAAAAATTGGAAATTTGGGAGTATATGTAAACGTTCTATACGAGACTACACTAAGTGATTTGGACAAAAATTGACAATCATTAGCCATGCTCCATAGAAATTCGTGAAAGCGAGATAACAATTTGTGATTTGGTTGAAAATGGCTAAAAATTATCAATCATCGTGTCCACAGCAAGTCAGGAAATTTGGAGTAAGCATAATGTATTTTATCCATGACGATAATTTGTGTATTGGTAAAAATAGCCAAGCATATAGGTTAGTTTTGGAGTACACAAAATATTTAAAGAGTACGACAACTTGTGATTTGGTTGAAAAAAGACAAATTATGGGTTATAGTTTAGAAATTCAAGAAATTAGAAGTACGTGTAAAATACTATATAGGGTACGACAACATTTGATTTGGTGAAAATGGAGCAAAATCATAGGTTATTTAGGAGAAATTTGGGAATTCAAACACAAAATATTCTATGTTGGACAACAATTTGTGAGTCAAAATTGACCAAAATCATGCTCATATTCTATTGAGAATTATTAAGTTTGGAGTAAAATTAACATATGTGGGGCGATAATTTGTTTATTGGCATAAAACTAGCACAATTGAGGATGATATTCCTTAGAATTTTGTGAATTTTGGAGAAAGCATAAAATGCTCTGTGGGTTATAGTCCACAGGAATTTGAAAACTCGAGAATTCTTAAAATATTTTGTGCAAGATATGAACTTGAAATTTGGTTAAAAAACTAAATCTATAAGTTATAATCTACATAAATTACTGAATTTTGAAGTATGCATAACATATTCTTTGCTCGCACGTGAATTAGTGATTTGGTTGAAAGGACCAAATCATTTATTATGGGTCACGTAAGTACAAAAAGTTTAGAATACAAAATATTCAATGCAGGATATGAACTTGTGAAGCTAAAATCATGGGCTGTAGCTCATAAAAAGTTAGAAATTTTACAGCCAACAATGGATTGTAATTCACAAAAATTTAGAAATTTTAAAGTACGGGATGTCATCTTTTTTATCTTGTTGTAAACGTTCAATATAGTGGTTTATAGTCTGAAAAAAATTCAGAAACTTTATAGTAGCATAATATTCTTTGTAGGAAGTCAATTTTGTAATTTGTTCAAAATGGTCCCAATCTGTAAAAATTCGTGAATGCTCCATTACACATAATATATCTAATGATTGATGGCGAATTCTAATTTGATCAAACTGCCAAAAGTTAAGGGTTATATGGAATAGAAATTTAGGAAAGTTGAAGTGCTATACATAAAACATTATATGTGAGACGCTAGCTTGTGATTTGGTCATAAATAGCCAAAATCATATCATAGTCTACTGAAATTTGCGAATTGTGGAGTATGCATACAATATTCTATGTAGGACAGCTACTTGTGATTTGGTCGAAAATAACCAAAACCACGAATTCTAGTCCATGGAAGTTAAGAAATTTAGGAGTCATGGAGAAAATGTTTTATGCTAGACGACAACTTGTGGTTTGGTAAAAAACGATCAAAATCCTAAGTTATAGTCCATAAAGAATAACTATTTTTGAAGCATGCATGACGTATTTTATGTAGGACGATAATTTGTGTATTGGACGATAACAAACTAACAAACACAATCATGTGTTATAATCCATCGAAATTTAGGAGTTTTAGAGTATGCATAAAATAGTATATGCTAAACGACAACTTGTGATTTCATTTGAACAACCAAAATCATTAGTTATGTCTCTCAAAATATCCAAAATATTGGAACACTCGAACACTTAATATAGGGTGGCAACTTGTGATTTGGTCGGGAAACTACTAAATTCAACTGTTATAGTCCATAGAAATTTCGGAATTTTGAAATACAAATAAAAGGTTTAATGAACGGTAACAAATTTTGATTTGGACGAAAAAGACCAAAATCACATGATATAGTCCACAAAATTCAAGATCGAAATACATATGAAATATTCTATGTTGAATAATAGTATGTGATCTAGCTGGAAATAATCAAAAACACGGTTTATAATCCACAAAAATTTGGAAAATTTGGAGTACGCGTAGAACATTCTATATGTGTAGAACATTCTATACGGGATGACAACTTATGATTTGGTCAAAAATGAACAAAATCATTGGCTATGGTTCAAAGAAATTTGTGAATGCAAGATGACTAACTTGTGATTTGGTCGAAAATAACTAAAGTTATAAGTTATCATGTCTGCAGAAAGTTGGGTATTTGAAATAAGCATAGTATATTCTATGCGCAGTGACAATTTGTCATTGGTAAAAACAGCTAGATATATAGGTTAATTTGAAGTATGGATAAAATGTTTATAGAGGACGACAACTTGTGGTTTAGTTGAAAACAGGCCAAAATCATAGGTTATAATCTTCAGAAATTTGGGAAATCGAGAGCATGTCTAAAATACTTTATAAGCGATGACAACTTGTGATTTGATAAAATTGAGCAAAAGCGTAGGATACCTTAGAGAAATTTCGAAATTTTAGAGTATGCATGAAATTTTCTATATTGGATGACAATTTGTGTTTAATCAAAATTGACCAAAATCATAGGTTATATTCCATGGAGAATCGTAAGTTTTAGAGTACAATTAAAATCTCTTATGTGGGATGATAATTAGTTTATTGCCCTAAAATAGATACAAGTATGTAAAATTGGGAACTTTGGAGAAAACATAAAATAGTTTATGGGGGACGAAAAATTGTTACTTGGTCGAAACATGCAATATCATATGTTATAGTCCACAAATATTTAAAATTTTTGGAGTACTCTTTAAATAGTTTGTGGGAAAACAACTTGTGATTTAGTCAGATAACAACCAAATAATATGTTATAACCCATATAAATTATGAAATTTTGAACTATGCATAACATGTTATATGTTATAATTTGTGATTTAATAAAAAAATGACAAAAACCATGGGTGATAATGTTACCTTGACTCGCTCTTGTGTGACCAAATCAACCGCTCTCATGTTGTGAAAAACGTGGGAAATAGGTTGTTGAGAGAAAATCTCTCAGGGGCAATTATGAGGGGCCGGAGATGATGGGTTTGGCCCCTATAAAAGGAGAAGTTTTCTCTTTGAGAAAACACAACAACAAAAACAAATCAAACCCTCTACCTGTTACCGGAGCCCCCTCAAAGAAATCTGATGTTCTTTCTCTTCTTCTCTGTAGTCGAACACTGGTATCAGAGCCGAAGGTTCTCCACCATCTTCAAATCCCGCTGCCATTTTCCCCAACAAAGAAGAACCACTCTCTCTCTCTCTCCAACTACTTGAGCAAGTACGTGACTTTCTTGAGGTCTGCCAACCATTCATTTATTTATTTTTGCCAAGCACATCCATCTAGCAGACCTTATAACCTTATAGCCTACATGTTCATAGCCTCATAACTTCATAACATATAATCCAAAAACATTCTAGAATAAGAGTGCGCATAAAATATCTTTGCTTGGCCAAGGGTTAGTACCAGAATTATTGGTTATAGTCGACGTAAAATTCAAAAAGTTTAGATTATGTAAAATATTTAATGTGGGTAGAAACTTGTGATTTAGACAAAAGAGGGTCAAATCATGGGCTACAATTCACAAAAAGTCATAATTTTTTTAGTACAACTAAAATATTCTATGTTTGACAACTATCTCTGATTTGTTGAGAACGGTCAAAATCATGAGTTATAATCCATAAAAATTTGGGAATTTCAGAGTTCATCTAGATATTCTATGCAAAACAACACCTAATTATCTGGTTGAAAATAGCCAAAATTATGGACTGTAGTACACCAAAATTTCAAAAATTTAGTATGTATAAAGTATCCTAAGTAGGACAACTTTATATATTGTTAAAAATGTTCGAACTCATGGTTTATAGTACACAAAAATTCAAAAATTTTGTGGTGTGCATAAAATATTCTGTCGGAAGTCAATTTGTAATTTGATCAAAACAGTCACAATCATGATTTCTAGTCCACAAAAACTCCTGAACACTCCAGTACGCATAATATATTTTTTGCCTAACAGCAACTTGTGATTTGGTAAAAACTGCAAAAACTTATGAGTTATGTTTGCATAGAAATTTAGGAAAGTTGGAGTATGCATAAAATATTCCATGTGGTACATTAGCTTGTGATTTAGTTGTAAATGGCTGAAATCATACTGTATAGTCCATAAAATTTCGCGAATTTTGGAGTATGCATACAAGTACTCTATGCAAAATGACTACCTGTGATTCGGTCGAAAATAATTGAAATCATGAGTTATAGTCCATGGAAATTCAGAAATTCAAAGATATAAGAGCATGCAAAAAATATTTCATGCTAGATGACAACTCGTGATTTGGTCAAAAACGATCAAATCCTACATTATAGTCCACAAAGAATTACAAATTTTGAAGTACGCATAATATATTTTATGCAAGACGATAATTTGTGTATGTCGATAACAAATACTATCATGTGTTATAGTCCATAAAATATGCAATAGTTTTAGGTATGTATAAAATAGGCTATGGTTGACAACAACTTTCGGTTTTGTTTAAGCAACCAAAATCATGATTTATGATACTTAACAAGATCATAAATTTTGAAACACAAAACTTAATGTGGGGCGACAACTAGTGATTTGGTCGAGAAGCTACTAAATTCAATTGTTATAATCCATTGAAATGTGTGAAATCTCCAATACCGATAAAACAATATGCTCGACCGTCGATTGAATATTTGGTCGAAAATAAACAAAATCATGTGATATAATCCATGTAAAATTCTGAAATTTCTGAATACACTCAATGCTTGATGGGAACCTGTGATTTGGACGAAAATAAATAAAGTTTGAGTATGCATAAAATTCAGGAAAGTTTTAGTACGCACAACATATTTCATGCGAGACACTAGCTTTTGAATTGGTTGTAAACGGCCAGAATCGTGTAGTAGAAGCCATTTAAATTCGTGAATTTTGAAGTACGCATACGATATTGTTTGCGGGATGACAACTTGTGATTTGGTAAAAAATGGCAAAAATTATGGATTATAGTTTCTAGATATCCAAGAATTTCTAAGTACACAAAAAATTCTATGTTGGACAACTCGTGATTTGGTAAAAAATGACCAAATCATGAGAAATAGTCCATAGAGAATCGCAAATTTTGGAGTATATAACATATTATGTGGTACATTAATCTGTAAATTTGTCGAGAATGGACATAGTCATGGGTTATAGTCCATAGAAATTTAGAAATTTAAAGTACGTATAAAATAGTCTATCTAAGATGATAACTTGTGATTTGGTTGAAATGACCGAAGTCATGGATTACAATCCACAAAAGATCGAACATTTCAGAGTACTCATAAACACTTCATACAAGACGACAACTTCTACTTTGGATGAGAAACAACTAAATTTAATTATTATAGTCCATAAAAATTTAGGAATTTTTAAGTACAAAAAAGTCACTAGTTATGCCTTAAAGGAACTCAGGAATTTTTTAGTATGCATAATATCTTATGGGGTACGATAACTTGTGATCTGATAGAAAATGACCAAACTCATAAGTTATAGTCTATAGGGGATCTTAAATTTTGGATTAGGTATATGATTTTTTATGTAGGACAATAATTTGTGTATTAGTTAAAAATGGGCACAATCATAGGTTATAGTTCATAGGAATTTAGGAATTTAGGAATTTTGGAGTATGCATATAATACTATGTGTGATGGCAACTTGTTATCTAGTGAAAAACAACCAAAATCATGGTTATCTTCAAATGAAATTCGAGATTTTCAGAATACTCATAAAATACTTTATGCGGTAAGTCACTTTGGGATTTGGTCGAAAAACAACCAAGATCATGGGCTATGGTCAAATGAAATTTGGGAAATTTGGAGTATGCATAAAATATTCTATGTGATGGCAACTTTGGATTCAATCAAAAATAGCACTAACCATTGGTTTAAGTGTGCAAAAAATTGGAAAATTTGCTGTATGGATAAAATATTCTCTACGGGATGATAATTTGTGATTTGATTGAAAATGATTAAAATCAAGGATTATAGTCCTTGAAAATTCAGAAATTCCATAGCACAAAAAATATTCTTTGCGGAATGACAACTTATGATTTGGACAAGAACGGTTAAAAACATGAGCTATAGCCTACAAAAAGTCAAGAATGTTGAAGTATACATAAAATATTATATGCGAGACGATAACTTGTGATTTGGTTGAAAATAACCAAGGTCATGGTTTATGGTACATAGAAAGTTGGAAATTTTGTAAGAGACAAAAATATTCTGTGCAAGGCAATAAGTTTTTATTTGGTCAAAAATAGCCACAACCATGACCTCTTGTTCATAAAAATTTATGAATTTTGGAGCATGCATAATATATTCTACGCTTAATGGCAACATGTGATTTTGGGCGAAAACAGAAAATAATGGTTTATAGTCCATAGAGATTTAAAAATTTTGAATTACACAAAATATTCTATATAGATCGACAATTTGTGATTTGGTTGAAAAAGGACACAATCAACGGCTATAGACCAAAGGAAATTGGGAATATTGCAATATGCATAAAATACTCTGTGTAATGATAATTTGTGATTTGGGTAGAAAACATTCAAAATCATAGGTTAGTCCACAAAAACTCAAAAATTTTGGAGTACGCGTGAAATAATCTGTCTGGTATGGCAACTTGTGATTTGGTTGACGAAGACTAAAATCATGTGTCATAGTCCATAGAACTTCATGAATTTCTGAGTACACAAAACATTCTATGCTGGAAAATAACTTGTGATTTGGTTGAAAACGACCTTAATCATGATTATATTATTTGTACCCCAAAATTCACCTGAATCTTAATTGGCTGTCCCACACAGAATATTTAATATATACTTCAAAGTTTCTAAGTTGGTACGTAATTGTGCTCATTGACCCATGTTGAATTTTTATGCATACACCAAATTTAACGAATAATTTTGGCTATTTTTCCCAAATCAAATATTGTCATCATGCATAGTGTTTTTATATTATGTTACTCCAAAATTTCCGAATTTCTTTGGACTACATAACTAATGAGTTTCGCTATTTTCCATCAAAGCACAAGTTGCCTTCTCATATAGAGTATTTTGTGTGCTAAAAAAATCCTAAACATCAGTGAAGTATAACCATTGATTTTAGCCGTTTTTGACCAAATCATAAGTTGTTGCCCTACATAGAATATTTTTTGCATACTCTAAAATTCTTGAAAATTTTTGGATTATTTGGTCATTTCGACCAAATCACGAGTTTTTCCCATACTCTGCCCATCCCATGCCCTGCACATGTCTTCTTTCATTCTACATGCTATAGTTGCTTGTAATACTTTGTTGGTACAACACCTAGCTGATGCCAAATTGTGAACATGTTTTCTTGATGTGATACATATTTATGCTCATTAGATGAGATTCCTATAATCAACTGTTTGATTGAATATTCATATTGTCGACCTAATATAATGGCAATGGCAGTGTTGTTAATGCGCAAGGCGCATGGGGCACAAAGTACCTTTACGCGCATATGCGCAAAGCACAATGCGATGTACGCGCACGAGTGATGCGAGGCACACACCGCACACATTTTTTCAAGATAGATAATCAAGCACGAAAGAACATGTTTAGGAATTCACATAAAAAATGTCAGGATAAATAATATCTTATTGCCGGATCACAATAAGGTCTTAAGTTCTAATGCTCACACATCCAACATAGCAGCAAAGTTTATAATTTTTCAAATCAAATGTCAAATCAAGACTAATATCCAAGAAAAATCAAATAGTAAATGAGGATTAGTTAGGGTCCTCAATTGGAGATTACTAAAAAGGCCTAATGGATTTATTTGGCTTTTGGGGACGTATCTATTATAAATACTATTGAAATGTTAACGAATAGAAATATACGAGGTTATGTACTACATGCACCCTATGCAAAGTCAGGATACTTGTGAGGCGCAAAGGCGTTGTTGCATCAGATGCGGGATGCTTCGTCACTACCCTGCATCGCAAGGCGCATGCGGCGCAATGAGGTGCGCGTTTTTGAAAACACTGGGCAATGCTTGTGTCAAAAAAATTTAGCCTTTAACATCCATATACTTTCTCCTTATTGTGTATAGTGCTTGAGAAGGTCCCCATATTAAATAGAGGTTGTCTATGTCAAGGCACCTTAAGAGAGTACAAATCCTATCAGAAGAGAGCTGTTCTGATCCAATAAAAGGAAATTTTGGGAATTCTACTTACCCTTGTATGGATTAGAACATTTACTCACATATTGGCTATTCTGATAGGATAATTATTCCCATAGAGATACCAATAAACTTATGAAAAATTAAGAGAATATACAATTACCTTAGGTCTTAGAAAAATGTTACAACCTAATGAAAGTGTATAAGTAGTCCGAATTAGGAAAGATGTAATACCATGTCATGAACGAAATACATGGAAAAGAAAATTCTAGCATTTGAGGTCTGCTTGTACTGTTATTCAAGTTCTCATCACTTATTTTCTTTATTGTAAGTTGTAACAATGCATAGATGTTTTAGGGATTAAGCATGATCGACATGAAAGAGAAATTGGGATACACCTAGAGATTATGAACCCCTCTTACTCTTCCCTTGGAAACCTTATTTTCTATCGTAATTGAAGCAATTTCTATAATGAAGAGAAAGGTTTAATTCTCTGTTGTTTATAAATTATTGCCTAAATTCCTACTATCAAACTATTTGTGGCCACAAAAAACAAAAAATAAAAATCTGGGAAAAATAAATTCCTACTATCAAAGTCTAATGTGAATCATGTGTTTTCTATAGCATACTACTTGTCTATATATTCTTAAGGAAATTGACAATTGCTTACGTTGTTAGCATACTACTTGCCTATATACTTGTGTTGTCTAGATGGCCTTATGCCTTTCTAGCCTCAAGTTGTCTATTCAACAACCTTGTATGGCTTGTTCTATCCAAGTCTCCTCAATGTTTGCATTATAATAAGAGTGGACCTTCAACTTGTGGAGTGATATGTAAATTATACATAGTATATTACCCATTGTCTTTCAAATTATACATAATGTATTACCCTATGTCTTTCAAAGTAAGAACTCTAACATCAAGAAGTCATGTCAGTGTTGGACGCTTTTTTCATAATACTTGACAATCTTTAGACTTATGTTGGACACTTCTATAATGTAACTCTTGACTTATAAGCCTATCTAATATTGTACACTTGGAAAATATTTTGATGGATCATCCTTTACTGTATATTATACTATAAAGGATGATATGGTGATTTTCTTGTTAAATTAAAATTATTATGAAAATGAGAATAATAGTCAATAGTAAAATAAAGCAAGTGTAAGACTACATTACACTAGAGAAGTGATATACATAAGGCTTACGAATTAGATGCATAAGAAGATCACAAGTTGTACTGCCTTATATGCATTATTTCAGTTTAATGCTAGTTTAATATCCATCATGCCTACAACATGTTTTGTCTCTATTGTGGGCCAAGTTTGTTCGAGCATTCTTTTTATTTTGCCTATCTTTGGCACAAGCTTTGCTTCAAAGGAAAAAAAAAAAAAAACTCTCTACATAGTCACACGAAGACCTTATTTGAATGACACGATATATGGAGGACACTCATGTCAGAGGAAACCAATACTTGATACAACATCATGTTGTATCTGGAGATATTCTGTCACGCAATAGAAAATCTTATTTACAGTATTAGGAAATTGTTCTACATATTTCTCGGTTCTTGCTCAATTTGCATGGGAAACTTACGAGATGTCAATTTGTTGCTTGGGAAACCTAAAATACCTGTAGCAAATAAGCTAAAAGTATATAGGAAAGTATTTTTAGAAAACTCTTGAAAGAATACCGTCAATTTAAAATTATGTTATGAAATCACTATTGAGTAAAAAGCGTGGATTATGAGTGCACTACATGCATGCATTCGTTCACAAACACTAGTTACATTACATGCATGCATGCATGCATTCCATGTGGCATGCACACGTACACACATACATACATACAAACATACATCCATGCATGCATGAATGCGTGTCACTGCATCCACTCTATCTCTCATACACCGACACATCCGCCTACTCACACGCCCGCCTGCGGTTTGGATGTTTTTATAAGTAATATGCCACTTTTTCTCTTGATATATGTCACTATATATAACTTCTATTTTTTTCAAGTCTTTATGTTCGTCATATACAATGCATGCGTGTGTGCATTCCATGTGGCATGCACACATACATGCATACATACATATATACATACATCCATGCATGCTTTCATGCATGCATCCGCACGATCACACACCAACACTGGCACATCCACACCTACTCACGCATGCCTGCCCTGCTCGCCTGGAGTTTGAATGGTTTTATATGTAATATTGTACAAGTAATAAATCACTTTCTCTCTTAATATATATCACTATATATCACTTTTATTTTCTTTTAAGTATTTCTGTTCTTTATATACAATGTTATCTTATTTTTCAGTTACACCAGAAGAGTTCGAGTCACAGATGAATTTTGCAAGTGTCATATTTATGTCAAGAGTGTTTGGCACAAAAAACTTCGGGCATAACACAGTTGGTTAACTCCATGTAAGCCTATTGAAAAATCATGTGGTCTGGACTTTGGTTGTCCATGTTTTTATCATATTGTTGAAAATTGTTATTTTTACAACCACTTGAAAAAATGGGTTAAAAGCAGGTAATGTTTTCATCTATTTATATTTTTATAGGGTCAAAGAGCGCAGATCGTGCATTTGAGTTGGGATAATAGGATTCTAGACCACTCTTGGATCATCTCATATATATTGCATATAACTGAGAAAATTTCAAATGAGAAATCTATGTTGAGAACTTATGCGAGAACACAACAATGGGTCATCTCATGGATGGACCACACCATTTGTCTAGTTTAACACATCAAAGCGAATCATGAATAAGAGAACAAATTGCTTCAAAATTTCTTCCATGTACAAAGTTTTGAACATATGTACATGTGATCATAACTATAAACATCTTTTTTAGTTAGTATGTCATGTGCTAAAACAGTGCTTTCGATTATTTTGCAGTTTATTGAGTGGGTGGAAGCAAATAACAAATTAAATTACACAGATCGTGATTATGCTTCTCATCTTGATTTGACTGCCAAAATACATGGTCTCCATAAGGCTGAAGAGTTCATTGACAGAATTCCTGAATCCTTTAAAGGCGAGATTGTTTACAGAACTCTTCTAGCTAACTCTGTTTCCACCGGCAATATCAAGAAATCAGAGGAAATTTTCAACAGAATTAGGGACCTCGACTTTCCACTTACAATCTTTGCTTGCAACCAAGTACTACTTCTTTACAAAAGAAATGACCGCAAAAAAATAGCTGACATCCTCAAACTGATGGAGAAAGAAAATATCAAGCCAAACATATTCACGTACAGGCTTTTGATAGACACCAAAGGTCGAGCAAATGATATCTCAGGCATGGAGGAGCTTGTGGAGACGATGAAGGCTGAAGGCATAGTGCCAACCATAGGAGTTCGTGCTATGGTTGCAAAGTACTACATCCATGCAAACCTCAACGAGAAAGCTGAAGCAGTGTTGAAGGAGATTGAAGGGGATATCAAGGAAAACCTTAGAGCGTGCAGACAGCTTCTCCCTCTCTATGCTTCTCTCGGCAAAACAGATGACGTTGAGAGAATTTGGAAGGTTTGCGAGGCTGATCCTCATTTAGAGGAGTGTTTATCTGCAATTGAAGCATGGGGAGAGCTAGGGAAGGTAGAGAAAGCTGAGGAAGTCTTTGAACTTATGTCCAAGAATTGGAGTAGTCTTTCCTCTAGATACTACAATTGTATGATTAAAGTTTATGCAAAACACAAACTTCTCTCAAAGGGTAAGGATTTGGTGAAGAGAATGGCAGAAAAAGGGCGAAAGATTGGTCCATTGACTTGGGATGCACTTGTGAAGCTCTACGTTGGGGCTGGGGAAGTGGAGAAAGCTGATTCATTTCTTCAGAAGGCAAGCCAGCAGAATCAGATGAAGCCCCTGTATTGCTCTTATATGATGTTGCTAGAGAATTACGCAAAAAGGGGCGATATTCATAATGCTGAGAATATTTTTAATAAGTTGAGGCAAAATGGTTACATGGGGAGGATGAGATTGTATCAGGTTTTGCTTCAGGCCTATATAAATGCAGAGTTTCCAGCTTATGGGTTTAGAGAGAGGATGAAAGCTGATAACATGTTTCCAAATAAGGCAGTGGCAGCGCAGTTGGCGACTGTTGACGATTTTAAGAAGACGGCAATATTAGAGTTGCTTGATTGATGCGTTCCGCATAAATGATGTTTTCGAGTAATCATTTTAGGTCTAATGCTGATTATTATAAATTGGTAGTTCAATTTTGAATGATACATAATTGTAGTGCATGATGAAGTTTCCGTATGCATTATGCGCTGAAGGAGGCAATAGAAAGTTGGTTTTTCTTTTTCATTTGCCACAACTAGCGTAGTCTTTGTAAAGGAACCTGTTATGTCAGCGATTTTTTTCCAAGTCACTTCAGTTTAATTTATTGTGTTGGTTCTCTACTTCTTTTTCAAAATTCTCTGTACCTTTCTAATATTATATTGTAGCTTATCATGTCTGATTGAACTGGGACCTCCATTTTTACAGCATTTGTATGTGGTACTATTTGCAGCTTATGTGCTTTTTATTTCCTGTGGTACTGTAAAAATTGACGGCGTTACCTGCAATGTATTTGCAATCATCTTCAGAAATAAGTTGTCACAGGTTAGGGATGAACAGGTACTTGCTTTAACTGCAAAAATACATTATTTTAAGTAGTTTATAGCCTTTGTTCGACAAGCATAAGCTTAGGTCACTGTTTGAGTTACGAGCTACTGTGTCACATCGATATTGCATTCACTGCTTCTCCTTTGTAATAGTCACTGCCGCATATCAAACAGCAAAGGTTAGAAGGGCATGATCGTTTGATCTTCCAAGTGATTTTTGCACTATTTTTAATTGTTTGCAAGTTTTGATAATGGAAATGCAAAAATCCTGCCATCAGAGATTGAAATCTGGGTTATAAGAACTAAAAAACATAGCACATGAACTCTGCACAGCTAACAACTATATTATTGTATAGTGCTATTATTTAAGAGGATTCATATATTTTATTCTACCCTTTAAGTGTGTCAAGATTAAAAAAAGTTTAACATGTCCTCGAACAATTTATTATATATTTAAACTAATTAGAAGAACAAAATTGAAAGGGAAAATTACTTCTAGCCCTCAAAATAACAAAAACTATTCCCCCCACCCCCGCCCAATGATTATTTCAAAGCTCAAAGCCCCCAAGACCAAAGCCGCAGTTCCTTTAGCCCCCAAAAGTTAGAATTGAACACCTCATGTGTAGTTTCAAACACGTGAATGCCAAAATACCCGTTGGGGTCGGGAGACGCCTACACCGCCGAGGAAGCGATATCAACTTCGAGAGAGAAAAACAACCCTAAAAAAACCCCCCCCCCCCCCCCCCAAAAAAAAAAAAAAAAAAAGAAAGAAAGAAAGAAAAAAAGACTTTTTAAGGTTCTAGAAACCCCCTAAATCAAAACCCGAATTCATTTAGTCCCCAAACCTCGTTCCCACGTGACCCTGATTTAAAAAAAATCCCAAAAGTGCCCTTTGATTTAACCGTCTCCCACTCCCTTTTTAGCTCTCCTCGGTGAGTTTGTCTAGCTCTCTCATCCATTCAAGAATGAAACCAAGTGTCCCTAAGTCGAAACCCTAACCTTAAATCAGCCTACCCCGGAGCAAAATCAAAGTTATTTTCTTCTCTATTGCCTTCCTATACCCCCAAAGTGGAATCATGGCAGACAAGTCAACGCCCAAAGTAGTCGCCCCAATAGAAGACTTCAAAGATGATGACGACTCATAGTATGTCGTCGCAAGAAGATGCTTGAGCACGGAGTCCACTAATGCTAGCACAACAAAGCAGATATTCTAAAGGACCTCGCAGTTAGTCATCCTTCTCCCACAAGCCCAGTTCAACGTACGGATCTAGAGAGCAGCTTCGACGATGCCTCGAAAGCACTCCTAGATCTAAAGAAAGGAACAAATAGGAGAAATTTGGAAGGCATGCGTATGTCAACCAACAAGAAGTGAGTTTACTGTATACTTTAGTTGTTTATGATGTTGCATGGTGTTTGACAGACATTTGTTACCAAGTTACTTATCTAATTTCAAAGGATATGTGTTAATTGTGAATGTTACTATTAAGTTGTGGATGATAGACTTTAGTTATCAAGGATATTCATTAGTTGTTAAGGTTAAGCATTACTTATAAAGATTATGAATTAGTTGTGAATGTTACTGCTAACTTGTAACTTGTTAGTTGTTAAGGTTATGAGAAAGTTACTGTTAACTTATGACTTGTTAGTTGTTAATGTTATGCATTACTTGCTAAGGTTATGAGTAGGCTACTGTTAACCAGTGTTTTGTTAGTTGTTAAGGTTAAACATTATTTGTTAAGATTATGAATTAGTTGTGAAGATTACTATTAACATATGACTTGTTAGTTGTTAAGCTTAAGCATTAGTTGTTAATGTTATGAGAATGTTACTATTAACTTATGGCTTATTAGTTGTTAATGTTAAGCGTTAGTTGTGAAGGTGATTATTAACTTGTGGCTTGTTAGTTGTTAAGGTTAAACGTCAATTATTAAGGTTATAAATTAGTAGTGAAGGTTACTGTTAACTTGTGACTTGTTAGTTGTTAAGGTTATGAATTAGGTGTGAAGGTCACGGTTAAGATTATGCGTTACTTGTTAGTTGTTAAGGTTAAGAAATAGTTGTGAATGTTACTATTAATTTTTGATTTGTTAGTTGTTAAGGTTATATGTTAATTGTTAAGGTTATGAATTAGTTATGAATGTTACTCTGAACTTGTGGCTTGTTAGTTTTTAAGGTTATACGTTAGTTGTTAAGGTTATGAATTAGTTGTTAAATTAAAATTATTGTGAATACTTATTAGTTGTTAAGATTATGTGTTAGTTGTTAAGGTTATGAATTAGTTGTGAAGGTTACTACGAACTTGTGACTTGTTAGTTGTTAAGTTTAAGTTTTAGTTGGTAAGATTATGAATTAGTTGTGAAGGTTAATGATGACTTGTGACTTGTTAGTTGTTAATGTTAAGCGTTAGTTGTTTAGATTATGAATTAGTAGTGAAGATTACTGTTAACTTATGACTTGTTAGTTGTTAAAGTTATACTTTAGTTGTTAAGGTTATAAATTTGTTGTTGAAGTTACAGATTACTTGTTATGTTTATGTATATATTGTTAAAATTACAGTTTCGTTGTCAAGTTTACAGCATAGTTGTTAAGGTTACATATTATTTACAAACTAATTATGTCTTTTTTTTACTTTGCAGACATAAGGTTGTATAAATGTTTTGGCCTACATCCAGCTCACGACGTACTATGATTTCATGCATTCTTTAGTGCAATTTATGGACAATAGGTTTTAAGATGCCTATGAAGAGTCTTCAGACATTACATTCATTTTGGCTTCCCTAGTCTTGATCTTCGCACTTTTGAGTATGTGTTGAGACAGTGGGATGAGAAGAAGAAGAAATTTATCTTCATAGATACAAAAACTGGAGAAGACATTGAGTGCTCATTTAACCTTGAATGGGTTATGAACCATACATGATTTACCAATGAGGGGGTTTTTGTTGGTCCCAAACCAGATCAAAACAATCGAAGGAAAATGTATTTTTTTTAAATGAGGATGCCAGCAGTAATGCTCCCCAGCAGCTACCAGACACTATGTTAAGGATCTACGAAACTCGCACGATCAAGTAAGCTTGAAGATGTAAAGGATTTTTTCTACTTCACATCCTATATCAGTTGAGCATGATTTGGTATCTTAACAATATTTTTGTCATACCAAGACACTTGTTCAAGTATGTTGAAAATATTGAATAAGTGAAAATCACTGCTTAGGCAGCTATATTTTCAATGAGACAAATGCAGCAATTGAAGCAGCATTAAGGGGTACAGAAACATGAAAGAAGCTTTTACATCTGTAAAAGTATACCCAACTTGTGTCTGTAAGTATTCATACTATTTATTTTTTAGAGTAGTGATTAGATGTTATGATTATTCTTGATTGTGAATGTTATTTATTAGTTTTTAAGTATAGTAGTTAGTTGTTAATGTTAGGGATTAGTTTTCAAGACTACAGGTTAGTTGTTATGTATACAGATTGGTTGTTAATATTACAGATTAGTTGTTAAAGTTATAGATTGGTTGTTTATGTTATATGTTAGTTGTTAAGGTTGTAGATTTGTTGTTAAGGTTACAAGTTGGTTGCTAAAGTTACAGATTGGTTGTTAAAATTATTTCTTAGCTATTAAGATTACTGCTATTTTGAAAGATTTATAATCTTCTATTTCTCTAATATACAGTTATGATACTATGAACTGATTAGCACCCAGAACCCAACATGCGGAATTACATTAAGGCATCCCCTCACAAATTAGGTGAGACTGGGAGAAGTTGGGGGTTCCCTACGATTGGCTATAGTTAAAACTAAAGCTCAGCAAGCTACTATAAACCTTCTAGAGTTATAGGGCCAAGTTTAAAGAGTGGAGAAGATTTTTAAAGAACCATGGAGAGGTTTGTGGGAGGAGCAGGATAAGGAGAAAGAGAAGAAGAAAGAGAAAGAGAGGGAGAAGAAGAAGAAAAGGAGAAGATTGACATCGGTAGGGCACGTAGCCCAAGACAATCTATCCTCAAAATAAATATTAGAAGGGGATCAGAAGATGTTAATGCTCTTAAAGGATGTGTAAGCATTATAGTAGTTACTAACTAATTATGAATTATATCATTTTATTGTTAATGTTATCTCTTAGTTGTTAATTTTTTTACTAATATTCTAATATGTCTATTGCATAGGCTATTTCCTAAAATATTGATGAAGCAGTCGAGCAGAATGATGAGGCAATTGACCAACTAGAATTGCTTCATCAAATGATGGTTTGGAAGAGGATCGTGATGATGAATCAAAAATTAAATGGTGACATGGAGAAAAAAATTGAAAATCAGAGAGCTGCTGGCCAAGAAAAGATAGCTTCTCTATCTGTAGAAGTGACTTCTCTGTCTACAAAAGCGACTATGCTGAAAGAGGAGCTGAGGAATGCCCAAGCAAGAAGCTAGATTATTTATAAGAATAAGAATCTGGCATATAAGTGTTGGCCTCTTTGTTTTGATGATTTTAATAAATAATTTACCACTAATGTTGTTTGTCTAGTATTTGTATATTTCTATTTATTGTAGATAAACAACGAGTTAGAGGATGGATGGAATCAAGCATTCACGATCATATCCAATGGAGGTTGTCGGAATAGTGATTGAAGCTTTGCAATTCAAGTTAAAGATTCAAGTTCAAGCTTCATCCGCAAGTTTACCAAGTTAAGCTTCATCGAAGATCTAGATAGCTTGGGTAATTTAGTTTAGGTTTTTATATTATGTGTGTTAGTACTTTAAGCTCAATATCATATATACACATACACATTTTAGTTTTATATAAATATAGTTAT